TCATTTCCCAGCATCCCCTGCTGTGCAATTTACCAAAAGAGCGAGGTTCCTGAATGCTATGGAAGTCCAGCGGTGTGTGGAAATCAAGTAGCCGATTTGAGTTCCAGGCGCTCGATGACCAAACACCGCTGAACTCCTAGCGAATAAAGATGGCCGCAGCCACGTGTTCGGTACACGGATGGCGGCCCCACACACGAAGTCAATTAAACGCTTGCAACAATGTTGCAACTGGGCTAATGGGAGACACACGACCTCACCGGGGAGGTCTCCCGTTCAGTAGTTAGGTTGTTTCCCGAACAGGATTGCAGATCGCTATTCGGGAAACGAATGCTGGATCCCAATAGACAAACCATAGTGCATACGGCCATTTTAAAGTCCGGAACACAATTTGTGATAAGAAAGTCTTTTCAGTACAAATATTACAGCCATTCCATACACATACCAAGGACTAAAGTGGCGGTTCTGCCACAGTCAGCATTCGTTTCTTTGTACAAGCAAAATGACCCTCAATTCCTGGATGGGATGTTAATTCCACAGGACTTCAAACTGGTTTACCCGTTTCTTCCGATGGCTTTAATTCCAAGAGTCCTTAGGAAAATCAGAGCAGGCAAGGTAAGAGTAATAGTGATCATTCCTTATTGGCCAAACATGGCTTGGTTTTCAGAGTTAAAACAAATGCCTTGACCTACTGGGGGCTGCCATATCAACACAACTTCTGTAAAACAATCTACTCCCAACAGAGTCACTCCCAATGTTTGATTTACGGCTTGGCTGCTGCAAGGTTAATTCTCCATGAACAAGGAGTTCCTCAAACGTTATGAGATTTACTGCTAAACCCCACAAGAAAGTCTACATCAAGAATGTACTTGAGGATTTGGAACAAGTTTGTATATTGGTGTAGAGATCATAATTGTCTTCACTGTGCCCCATCTGTGTATACTATTCTCAAGTTTCTACTTTCAGGTTTTCTGTCCTGTCTTGGTGTCTCCACCCTGAAAGTTCAAGTTAGAAGAGTTGCTGGTTAGAAGATTTTTGAAAATCTATTATTCTGAGAAGGCCCCCTCCTGGATTTATTGGTGGTGAGGAAAGCCTTATGTGAAGTCTCTTTTGAATCGCTGGAAGAAGTTTCTTTGAAGTTGCAATCTCTGAAGACCATCTTTCAAGTGGCTATAAAGTCCGCTAGAAGGATTGGAGAAATTCACGCTAAATCTGCATCAGAAGAGTTCACAGTGTTTCATTGGGATAAAGTAGTTATTCACCCAGAGCCTTATTTTATGCCCAAAGCTTTAACCAGAGTATCGTTGAAACAGCCCATTGAGTTACCGTCTGTCTGTGCATCCGCATCTTCCGATCAAAGAAATTGCATTTTCTAGAGTTACAAAAACTAAAAAGTTTCAGTGCTGTAAGGAACAAATAGAAAAAGTGAAACAACAATTTATCTATAAAAATATACACATCTATAATGGCCTACGCTGTGGATAGAAATAACCTACTTATCCCTATTGTTAGAAATAATACCAACATCTCCTCAGATTTTTTTGAAAAAAAGCATTTTTAAACATTGGGACTTGTTAAAACAAGACCAGGTTTTGTCCTCAGTATTACCCTTGAAACCCAGAGTTATTTTTAGGGGGGCACCTACGCTTAAGGAGAAATTGGTGCACAGCTACAATAAACCGACCCCCTAAATTTTTTATTTTTTTTTTAAATTCCCATACAGGCTTTTATAAATGTGGGATTGCAGCATATGCCAAATAGTAGGTCCACCTTTTGGCAAAACTGCAGACTTTCAATCTGCAGTTACCAATAAGAGGTTTGAAATAAAAGAATTACCTGTAATTCAAAACAGATTATCTACCTACTGAGTTGCTCTTGTGGTTTGCAATATGTGGGACAGACAAAACGAATGTTAAAAACCAGGTTAGGTGAACACGTGTATAATGTAAAGAGACGATTTGAAAATCACAGTCTGTGTCCCTTCGGACTTAACGCAGAGGTAGAATTAACAAATATACTATAACCACTATAAATATTATCCCATAACAGTATGCTATCCATAGTATGGATCTGTTCCCTCTCACTATGATATAATTTCTTCCTGTTTCTGTTAAAGGCTTTTCTTTATATATTTTATGGGCTTTGTGAACTAATTTTCTAGTTACCTATTTTTTATTCATAAATTTTATTTTATAATTTTGTTTGAAGATTTGTTTTCTAAGAATGGTCTATTTTACTTGATATAAAGATTTTATATAATGGCTTATTTTAGTAATGTTTCTTATATAATTCTTTTTATCTCTGTATTTGCACTGATTTCATGAATTAACATTATAAACAACTTTTTTTTATATATACATTTTTTTTATTTTTTGCAGTGCATAGGTTAAGTACATACAGGCCTGCGGTACCCCAACGACATTGCTCAGGCTGGGTATCACATATTACAACTGGGGTATTCAATAAGACAAGCACAATTTTGTAATCAGGAGGGTTAATCAGAGTAGAGACAGAAGAAGACACATATATTACAGGCTGGGTCTACTGATTAAATAACTATGTGCTAGGTAAAATAACTATTAGAGAGTATGCTAAACAAAGTAGAAGTACTGCTGAATACTGCATTAGAGTAGGTAGTGAGTGAATGAAGGCATGGAGTAATCTAACTCTGTGGTGCCAGTCAGCTAGGATGTCCTTTAGGAACTTTCAGTCCACTCCACATAAAGGCTTTGGGGGAGAGTCCTTCTCCATGGTGAGCATAGCCTGTGTGAGAGTGGCCATGTAGTGTCTGGGGATGGCTTGCCTCCAGCCCTGGATCATTGTAGGGGCCAGCACCACTGAGCCACAGACTCGGGGGCTCTGTGAGTCCAAGTCCTTCCCACAAGTGGGAATGCATGAGGTCCTGATAGTGCAACATCGGTTCAGGCTAGCGGGCCTCCGCTTATGTGGACGGTGCATCCGGGGTAGATCCTTGGTGGCCCTCAATCCATGAGGGCGTTCTCTGGGGATGACAGGAATGTGCTCGAAGCTGGTGCCCAGAGGGGGCACTCCCCACTTTCTTTTTCTGGTTCTGCTCTCCAGGCTATGTGGGTAAGTAGGTAGTTGGGTAGGAGTTGCCATGCGCTCCCCCAGTTTGGCCCAGAACTTGTTAAATATAGCCTCCAGCGAGGTAATTGGGCAGCGATGGCCTCCGGGGCTGTTGGTCTGTTGCCGCATTAGGTTGCTGGGTTGAGGCTTGGGCGCGTCCGCCATCTTGGAGTCTGCAGCTTCCCTGAAGAGGCTGGTAATTTCCTGCATGCCTTGACAGCTTCCAGCTAGCAGGCCAGCGGGGACCGGGATTACCCCCACCGGTCCAGAGGGGGGGGGGGGGGTAGGCGCGTGGCTGACGCAAGGTGGATTGTGGAGCCAGGGGATCGGTCGTCTCCTCTGAGCTCCGTCTGTGGTAGACCGCAGATCTCCATTGAAGGCTCTCCATCACGGTAGTCCAAGAGTGGTATCGCTCATTTCAGCAGGTCTCCCCCCCCCGGGTGATAGTGGCAAAAGTAGACGTATTCAAGCTGAGTACCCGGGTGGATCTCCCTGTTCGTAGCTGAAAGTGCCGGAGCCTGCTTACCACGCGTCCGGTCAGCTTGGCGGTACGGCTCCACAAGATTATTACATTATTTTGATATTATATGCAGTTTATATTTGTATGTACCTTTGAGAAAGTACTATATAAACATATATGTTTTTTTTTTTAAATTCTGTGTAGATGTGACACTGCATATTTGGACTTAATGGACTTTTTATTTGTCTGGACATTATGAGCACCGATAATTTGATGCACACAAAAGGGTATATATTTGCGAGATCTTCGCCACGGCATCCTATCTTGAGAAAGTCCGGTCTCACAGGTGAAACGCGTACAAGCGCTGGTACTTTTTTGTTTTTATGGGAAGTTTCCATTAAAACTTGGGAAGGTTCTATTGTATCTAGCTGCTGTTATTTGCGGTTTGATTCTTTTTATATATTTTATATTATTCGTGTTCTCTCATAGTGTATATTTGTATTTTCTAGAGTTAGAAGAGCTTTGGAAATGTACATACTTCATCCTGATGATTTAAGAATATCAGCTCAGCTGTATTAATTTCAAGGTAGAAATATCAGAAAACAAGTCTCCAAGCCTTCAAATACTAGATGGATTACTTTCAATGTAAATGTAGACTTGACAAAGGTTCCAAGGAGCCAAAACTTTGTTTTTGTTCTGCACTTCATAATAAAGCTGTCTCTGAAGAAACCACCAGGTGTGCCATGATCTACATTGTTCTATTATGCTTTCCTGGGTTTGTGGCCCTGCCTGTGTGGAGCACCCTGATGGGAGTGCTCCCTGGATAGTGTGTGCATATCCTTTCAACATTTGCAATTCAATGTAAATATGCGTCTGTCATATGCCTCTACTGCTAAATTCCACAAGAAAGTCTACATCAAGAATTTACATGAGGATTTTGAACAAGTTTGTATATTGGTGTAGCTATCATAACTGTCTTCACTGTGTCCCATCTGTGTATACTATTCTCAACTTTCTACAGTCTTCTGTGTGACTCTTTTGATGAGTCTTAAAAGTTGAAGTATCAATGAAACATTTCCCAAACCTCACATGTTTCCTAAGATCTGACATTTGAGTTTCCCACATTCAGAACAAGAAAATGGTTTCTCTCCTGTGTGAATCTTCTGATGGTGATTACAATTTGAAAGGTCAGTAAAACATTTCCCACATTCTAAACATGAAATTTGTTTCTCTCCTGTTTGTATCCTAAGATGTGACATTTTAGATAGTGGATTTCTTTGATATGCTAATTAGCATTAAGGAGAACCCTTGTGACCCAGTGTCATATCCAGAAAGAAACATTAATAGTAACCCACTGATTAATCATTAAGCTTTATTGTTTGCTTATTTAGAATCGGCAGAGCACAATCATCTTTTGGAAGGAATTATGATGTCCATTATATTAGGTACTAGTAGGGTTTGTGATATACCTATGGAATGTAAAAATAGCAACGAATTCATAGATTTAATTATTATTTCTGTGGCATGTCCAAAAAGGAAATAAAATCAAAAGTTTCTATTAGGATTGAAGCTTGTCTGGGAACACAGGAGGTGGTCTCCTATTGTTTCTGTAGGTACACCTTACTTACACGTCCAGACCAGGCTTGGAAACCTGAGTGTATATATCAAATGATATGTAAATATCTAGTGCACTTGTTTGGGGCCAAAATCTAATTTTGAGTGAGTTATTAGGACTTCTGTTAAATTTTCCGTTTTGTTTTCATCTGTTGTTGGCGTAAATAATTTGTCATCTGTTTTTTCTATGCACTGTGACTATTGTTTGTCCATAATAAATATAGATATTGTTCTAAATTGTATTTTGAGGATATTTTTAGTCTAATTTATCTGGGGGACCAAGGCACCCCATGTATAAATTGTGTTGGCAGCATTAAAAATAGCAATATTTATATATCAATTTATAATTAAGTGGGGGTGGCATTAAAGGGTATTTTTATAATTATTTCCAGACTAGTGCAGACAAATAGTATACTTTAACCCTTTCACCACCAAAACTAAGTCACACACACTCTTGAAGTACTGTGCGTTCTTGTCTAACTTTACCATTTCCAGTAAGAGCTAATTCCAGCAGGGCAATAGCTACTTATATCCCCACTGTCTACTGGAACTATACGTCAAGAAAAACAGAAATTTTACTTACCATAAATAATTTTTTCCTTAATATAGTGGCAGTACAATTTTCTTCCATCATTTGATAATAAATTTATATTTTTGCATTTAAGCAGGTTTTCTCTTGATATTTACAGAGGGAGTAAAGAAGGGTTCCACATTTATAAGGGAAAGAGAAAGAATAAATTACATTTATGTTATTTGTAGTTTGCAGTCTGCTTGTTCCACTAAGAAATACAGACCCCACTGTATAATGCCAATATATTAATGAATTTATGGTGGTATGTCAATTTTTTGTTTTCACCAGTTTATTCCCCCCCCCCCCTTTTTTTTATGTCAATGTTTGTGGTGAGGGTTTCCTATAGACAAGCATTGCAGACACAGTGAGGTGATGGCAGTATATGCATCACGTCTCCCAGTGTTTCTCTGTGATAGTCACTGGATCGGCCAGTAAGAACCGTTTTATTTAGCAGTATTTGAGTGGAGGGGTGGGGGGGAAGAAATCTAAACAGGATAAACAGCAACACTTCATTATTAGTCTGGAGTACTTGTATGGCGAAAGTGACCTCGCCACTGGTTTTTGGAGGGGCCTGTTTGCCCACCTCCTACCTTCAGACTATGGCCCCTGGGAGATTGTGCCCTTTAACAACAGTCTTGGGGCTTATGGACTTCTATTGGACTGTGTATGGCCCTTGCTAAACTTTAACCCCATTGCGATTTTATTCTGTTCATGGGATCTGAGCGCTGTTCAGATATATTGAGCCCTCAGATCCAACCTATCTTGAATGTGGGAGTTCTGTTCAGTATAATAGGAATTATGTAATATACTTACCCAGTGGAAGAAGAAGAATGTTACACTGTATAAAATTTTAAATAAAGTATACAAACATAGCCAGGATTCAGCTGTAAGCATTTGCGACACTTACAACAATCAAGTAACATACATTCATATAAAATGTAAGTTACTTGGCGAGTCAATGTAATGACAGGAATGAATAAGTAGATAACTCCCTAATTCCCATGGTATTAGAGAGCTATCTACTAAAAGACCTGAATTGGTCTTTCAGAGAAATTTACTAATACTAAGTATTAGTAAATTATGCCCCTACTCACTATACCGCGAGTAGGAGCATGTCTAGTAAACACTTCGCAGCCTGTGCGCTCAGCACCCTGAGCAGTGGGTGGGTGCCCTAAAATAGAATAAGGGGGGGACCTAATGTCCTCCCCCTGGCCCCCACCCCTGAGCAGTGGGTGGGGGCCCAAAATAAAAATTTTGGGGGAGGAGACCTAATGTCCTCCCCCCTGGCCCCCACCCCTGTGCGGTGGGCGGGGGCCCTAAATTAGAATAAGGGGGGGACCTAATGTCCTCCCCCTAGCCCCCACCCCTGAGCAATGGGTGGGGGCCCTAAATACCAATTGGGGGGACCTAATGTCCTCCTCCTGGCCCCCACCCCTGATCAGTGGGTGGGGGCCCTAAATAAAAAATTTTGGGGGAGGAGACCTAATGTCCTCCCCCCTGGCCCACACCCCTGTGCGGTGGGTGGGGGCCCTAAATTAGAATAAGGGGGGGACCTAATGTCCTCCCCCTAGCCCCCACCCCTGAGCAATGGGTGGGGGCCCTAAATACCAATTAGGGGGGACCTAATGTCCTCCCCCTGAGCGGCGTGTGGGGACCCTAAATAGAAATGTAACCCCCCCCCAGGTGACTAGGGGTCCCCAAACCCATAGTCACTACCCTCCTCCCAAAAATGAACCCCTACCTACCCTCCCTCACCCTAAAAATGATGAGTGGGTGACCTTTAACTAAGTACCTGTTAAATCAAAAAGGCCAAATAAAAAGCCATAATAACCAACGCACTTAAAAAAAAAAAAATTTAAAAACTTGAGCGCCCCCCCAAAAAAAAAAATCCATCTTCACCCATGGAGGGCGCCCTGCGCAGACTGAGCTTTGCAAGGCGGGGGAAGGCTTATAAAGCCTTGCCCCGCCCTGCAATTAGGCTCAGAGCACTCTGATTGGTTTAAGCCATCCAATCAGAGTGCTCTGACAGATAAATGAAGAGACTGACAGGTAAGTCTCTACATTTACGTGTCACAGCACTCTGATTGGTTGGTTTGAAATCCACCAATCAGAGTGCTCTGTGTCATTTTGCACAGCATGGGAAAGTTCTTTGGAATGTTCCCACGCTGTGTAATTTGACTCATTACACTCTGATTGGTTAATTGGCTGAAAAAAGAAGAAGATTTTAGAAGACATAAAACATCAAATGGTAAGTTTTATTTTTTAACAGGTTTAGCTATTTTTAGGGTGAGGGGGGTAGGTAGGGTTTAAATATTTTGGAGAGGGGGGTTGTAACGGATCGCCTGGCACCCCGACTGGGTACCTCCGTTGAAAGATGCTCCTAGCGCTTCCTGAGGACTCCAAGCACTGCAGCAGACACCACAATCACCGAACCAGAGAAGCGTATACCTTCTCTCAAGCATATGAATGCTGTAGACAGTTGAATAGGAACCATACGAATAGGTTTACTCTCCTAGCAGTCAAACTGGGACAGCATACAATAAATCCTTCCCCCAATAATGAGATGACACTTCACTTTGAGGGTTAAGCAGGAACTCCCTGTACTGTCACATACAGTCTCTTTATTCCCAATCCACAAACATAGTACAGCCCACAGGGCGTTACAAAACAACCAATCAATCCGTACAATACACCCAGACACTCCCACACAAAATCCTCCCCTCTGCAGGTGATATGATTACTGAACACAATGGGTAATCTCATTATCACCGGCAGAGGAATACAGTTTTTACACAATATTTATAACTTCTAAAATATACATGTCACAAACATAAAACATACATTTTCATAATCAATCCATTCAGGGGAACAACATATTAAAAAATGGCACGAATCAGACCAGGGGTTCAAAAGTTAAGGGAAAGTCCTTTGTGACTAAATGAAGCATGGCTTTCTGGCCCAAACCAGTTTCAGAGTCTTCTATCCTGGAGAGTAATTCAATTATCTCCCAGGACAGACACAAGACTCCATTAAGCACATGGTTGCAAAAAGACACAAAACACTTTAAAATACATAAAGTCACATTTACACATAAAACACAGACATGTCACATATCCCCAGATAGCTGGGATCTGAGCGCACAAAACTACCAAATAGCGCTCAGATCCTATTCACACAGTTCAATTGCCATGGAGCCGAAGTCTTTAACTACACGAATGGGCTCCATGGCATAGCTATCTGGGTTAATACCTTCACATAAAGTCTGGTCCATAGTCCAAAGGCAAGAGGCGGGCAAGCAGCCCCCTCCAAAGACACGTGGCGAGGCCGGTTTCGCCACAGGGGTGACTAGGGGTTTGGGGACCCCTAGTCACCTGGGGGGGTTAATTTTTTATTTAGGGCCCCCATCCGCTGTTCAGGGGTGGGGGCCAGGACATTAGGTCCCCCCCATTCTAATTTAGGACCCCCCACCCACCGCTCAGGGGTGGGGGCCACAGGGGAGGACATTAAGTCCCCCCCAAAAAATTTTATTTAGTGCCCCCCCACCTACCACTCAGGGGTGGGGGCCAAGGGGAGAACATTAGGTCCCCCCCTTTCTAATTTAGGGCCCCCACCCACCGCTCAGGGGTGGGGGCCAGGGGAGAGGACATTAGGTCCATCCCCCACAATTTTTATTTAGGGCCCCCACCCACCGCTCAGGGGTGGGGGCCAGGGGGGAGGACATTAGGTCCCCCTCCATTCTAATTTAGGGCTCCCACCCACCGCTCAGGGGTGGGGGCCAGGGGGGAGGACATTAGGTCCCCTCCAATTGGTATTTAGGGCCCCCACCCACCACTCAGGGCTGGGGGCCAGGGAGGGAGGACAATAGGTCCCCCCCCATTATTTTACTTTAGGGCGCCAAACCAATGCTCAGTGGTGGGGGTTGAGGGTTTAAAAAGGCTCAAGAGGGGGAAATGCTTTTTTTTTTTTTTTTTACTAGACATGTCCCTACTCAATGTATGGCAAGTAGGGACAAAATTTACTAATACTAAGTAATTTCTACATAGTATTAGTAAATTTGTCTGAAAGACCAATTTAGGTCTTTCAGCCTTTTGGTAGATAACTCCATAATACCGTGGGAATTAGGGAGTTATCTACCAAGCGGCTGCAAGAGAAGTTCCGAAGTTGACGAATTGTCGAAGTCCGAATTTCGGAATGCCGAACCTAAAATTTTCCCCATGCACATGCCTATGTGTTTTTACTTCTATTGGACTATGTATGGCCCTTGTTAAACTTAAACCCCATGGCGATTTTATTCTGTTTGTGGGATCTGAGCGCTGTTCGGATATATTGAGCGCTCAGATCCAAGCTATTCGGGAATAGGTTGAATGTGGGGGTTCTGTTCAGTATGATAGGAATTATGTATTTTTATGTGTTTTTACTGTTGTTGTAAATTTAGATATTTTCTGTATGCTGGAGATAATTGGCATAACACACCCAAGCCATACTTGCAGTCGTGTAAAAAAGGGACTTCCAACTTATATAGAAACATTGAATGTGACGGCAGATAAGAACCATTCGGCCCATCTAGTCTGCCCAATTTTCTAAATACTTTCAATAGTCCCTGGTCTTATCTTATAGTTAGGATAGCCTTATGCCTATCCCACGCATGCTTAAACTCCTTTACTGTGTTAACCTCTACCACTTCAGCTGGAAGGCGATTCCATAAATACACTACCCTCTCAGTAAAGTAATACTTCCTCATATTATTATTAAACCTTTTGTCCCCCTCACTTAAGACTATGTCCTCTTGTTGTGGTAGTTTTTCTTCTTTTAAATATAGTCTCCTCCTTTACTTTTGAACCACTGGACCAATTTGTATGATTTTGACATATGTTTGTATTTTGAGTATGCTGATTCTGAAAATGTAAGTTGTGTGAATGTGATGTATACTTTTAAAGTTATGGATATTGTGTAAAACTGTATTTTCCTGCCTGTGATAATTATGTTAGCCCATTGTGTTCAGTAATTATATCACAGACAGAGGGGAGGATTTTGCTGTAATGACTGGGTGTGTCAGACATTGTTGTATTGTTTTGATTGGTTTGTGTCCTTTGTGTGCCAGTGTTCCATCAGATCTAGGTCCTACGGTATTTGGTCACCAAGGAATGGAACCTGGAGTGGGATTACCTGCGACTCATCAATGAGGCCCGAGAAGAGACAACCGGTCCTCTTCCCCAACAGCAACCAGAGGTACCCTAGGTAGCAGACCTCATAGACTGGTCCTGGGAGGACCCCCAGCAGGCAGGTGGAGATGGGACCGAAGTCTCTCTACCGGCGCTACAGGGATGCTGGGCAGACGGCCCAGATCCCCTGCGGCAGTGCGAATCCCAGGGAGCTGAAGGTGTCGTCCTTCCTCCCTAGCGGCAGTATGTTCCCCAGGGAGCTGAAGGTGTCGTCCTTCCTCCCCAGTGGCAATGCGAATCCCAGGAAGCTGAAGGTGTTGTCCTTCCTCCCCAGCGGAAGTGTGTATCCTTGGGAGAAAAGAGACAGTCGGTTTCCCTGCCAGCAGTCAGATGTGTTACAAGGAGTGGAGACAGCTGGTCTCCCTCCCCAGCGGCAGTGTGTACCCTTGGGAGAAGAGACAGTCAGTCTCTCTCCCCAGCAGTTACAGGGAGAGAAGTGTGTCATCCTTCCTCCCCAGTGGCAGTGCGAACCCCAGGGAGCTGAAGGTGTCGTCCTTCCTCCCCAGCGGCAGCGCAAACCTCAGGGAGCTGAAGGTGCCGTCCTTCCTTTCCAGTGGCAGTGCAAACCCCAGGGAGCTAAAGGTGACGTCCTTCCTCCCCAGCGGCAGTATGTCCTACAGGGAGCAGAGACAGTCGGTCTCTCCCCAGCAGCAGGACAATTTATTGGGAGTGGAGACGGTCAGTCTCCCTCCCCAGCAACAGCCTGTGCTTCAGGGAGAGGAACATATCGCCCTCTCTCCCCAGCGGCAGTCTACCATACAAAAGGGAGACACTAAATTCCCAGAAGGTGCAGATGGGACCATGGTATCGGTGCCTGTCCTGCAAGGATGCTGGACAACCTGCCCAGAGCCCCAACTACCCTCACAGGGATACCAGGAGGATGGGGTAAGTACTATTTCCCCTCCCCAGCCAAGGCCTAACCCAGCTGCCACAGCAGAAGCGCTGACATCGGGGCAGAGCGCAGCGGGCCTCTGTCCCCCAAGTACCCGTTTGTTGTGGGGGGGCTTTTCTTGTACTTTGCTGTTGTGGGTGGGTTGTCAGACAAACTCAGGCACCGACCGACAGAAGGTCAGGTACCTGGTTAGTCTACCCCCCAAAGGGGAGATATGTGGCGAAAGTGACCTCACCACTGGTTATTGGCGGGGCTTGTTTGCCTGCCTCCTACCTTCTGACTATGGCCCCTGGGAGATTGTGCCCCCAACAGTCTTGGGGCTTATCGAATTCTATTGGACTGTGTATGGCCCTTGCTAAACTTTAACCCCATGGCGATTTTATTCTGTTTGTGCGATATGAGCGCTGTTCGGATATATTGAGCGCTCAGATCCAAGCTATCTGGGGATAGGTTGAATGTGGGGGTTCTATTCAGTATAATAGGAATTATGTATTTTTATGTGTTTTTACTGTTGTTGTGAATAGAGATATTTTCTGTATGCTGGAGATAATTGGCTTACCACACCCAAGCCATGATTGCAGTCGATCAAAATGGGACTTCCAACTAACTTTTGAACCACTGGACCAATTTATATGATTTTGACATATATTTGTATTTGGAGTACAGATCTAGACAAAATAGGAGAGTGCAGATCTTAAACGTAAATAAAACTAAATATAAATAAGAACGTGAGTAAATTCAGCAGCTATACACATAAAGATCCTTAAAAACTTTACACATAATATATAAACAAAATAAAGTGTCAGCGCTATACTTGAAAACCTAATTTAGGTGATCAATCTGAAGTAAAACATTTATAAATGCGGATTTATGGAAATACTTCCAAGTGCAATAAAATAAAATACAATAAAACAGACCACCATAAGTGTAGTACTCAAATAATCATAAAAAGTCTTGCTATAGGGGCCAATAAATCATGGGTGATGATCTTTTACAGGGTTAAGATTAGTCTTGCAGCTATGTCACAGCATCTGTAGATACATTGTTGCACTGTGGGTTTTTGACCTTGAAATGATACAAAAAGACCTATCATAGCGTAATACTGCAATTTAATCAAGTTAACATACAAAAACCTTCCCCTAAACTAAAGACCCTTACATCAGCAAGTTGTGGTACTCGTTTCCAAGATACCACAATATAAACTTTAAAATACACAGAGGCTTGGCAGCCGTTACCGTCAGGGACACTCCCACCAGATCTCAGAGCTGATTAAATGAATATTCAAACGTAGAGGAGGCTGTGACTGGCAAGCGATGCTGACAGTTGGACGTGCATCCACCTCTGGCAGCAGGAAGCTGTTCACACTTCAACGCATTTCGCCCACAATACCAGGCTTTCTCAATATAGTGTAACAGTTCCTTGGGGCATGCTTATATATGCTCCTGTCTAGTTAATTAGTAAAACGTCTATTTGTTTAATTATTCAATAAAGGGTGTTGTCTATATCTGAACATTCTTGGTCCACAGACAAAACACAATTAACCATTTCAATCATGTTAAGATAAATCCTAAACGTTATAACCATAATGCCCATTTATGAATACAAATATCATATGGGGCATGAAAGATAAATCAATTAAAACCTGTTGCTTGTTCTGACCTAGGATATAACTGCGAGGGGCTTAGTGCACAGCGAAAGCGTACATCGGTTTGTTAATGGAAACGGACATTAAGATTATAAAGAATTACATGCCTGGATAACTGAAGCAGGTAGATGCGCCCTGGGGCTTGCTAGTATAGTAAAATGGATGGTAAGCTACGCAATGTGTGAGGTGTAAGTCGATCAATTATAAAATGGTTGAGAATGGTGCTAGCCCGCATACCAGGCTAAACTTATGGTAGGAGGCGGGATGGTTATCTCAGTGTGCATTTTGCGTAGGTAGAGACGTGTATGGGACAAAATAAAAGAAAAGAAGATCATAAACTTAGGTACATGAGAGCACAGTTATAGCAGGAGTCCAACAGGTTAAACAAGGTCTGTAGTGCCATTTGCATAGGTGCATTATACATGTTATCCCATGAAAAGCAAAGAGAAAGGTCTTGAAAATTTAAATGTAATGAAACACACAGAAGAAATCATAAAATACTTTAAGCCCTGTAATCAGGCATGTAGATGTCGGAGTGAGGGTGGCATGGTCAGAGAGTCCAGCGTCAGCCTATGCCCTGGCTTGGGTAGGAATAGAGGCCGTCCATGGGTTGTTCGATGGTGGAGCTGAGCGTGGCTGTCTGCAGGAGCTGTAGCTCAGTTTTGGAGGCGCTGTGATCTAGATCCAGGGTAGGAAGCAGTGTCATGCGCTGTGAGCCAACCGCTTGGGTAAGCCTGTGTATGAGTCGCTCGGTGATTTTCACGGTGGGCTGGCTCCGTACCGTGCCTGTAAGTCGGCTGTCCCTCTGCATACCACTCCTCATGTGAACTCGGGCATTGCAGCAGCTTTGATCCAGCAAGCACTGCTGTAGTGTCGCAGAGATCCCACCCGTCAGGCTGCCCCATGCAGGTATGTAGCATCCGCCTTGCGTGTGTAAGGGCCTTAGCCAGCTAGGGAGAAAAGATGACGTTGTTTCCATTACGAGCTGATGGATTCGCATTTGCCACCATTTTAGGTTTGAGTAGTGGGGTCTCTGGGCTGCAGGGTGTGGGCCGGGATCACTCCCACCGGCCCAGGGGTGGGGGGGAACTGGGCCATGTTTACACGTTCATGGGAGTCCAGCACGATACCATCAGGCAGGATAGCGGGGCAGCAGCCGTCCACCCCACTCGCCGCCTGAGTAGGCCTCATCCTGTAGGGACGACTGTTATCTTGAGAGACTAAGACAAAAATTGCAAGCCTCTCCTCTGAGCCAGTGCTCCCTTGTGCATCAGACCACGGCTACTGGTCATTAATCAGGTGTAAATCTGCATTTGTGAGCTTAAAGGGACACTACAGTCACCTGAACAACTTTAGCTTAATGAAGCAGTTTTGGTGTATAGAACATGTCCCTGCAGCCTCAATGCTCAATCCTCTGCCATTCAGGAGTTAAATCCCTTTGTTTATGAACTCTAGTCACACCTCCCTGCATGTGAGTTGCACAGCCTTCCATAAACACTTCCTGTAAAGAGAGCCCTATTTAGGCTTTCTTTATTGCAAGTTCTGTTTAATTAAGATTTTCTTATTCCCTGCTATATTGATAGCTTGCTAGACCCTGCAAGAGCCTCCTGTATGTGATTAAAGTTCAATTTAGAGATTGAGATACAATTATTTAACCCCTTAAGGACACATGACATGTGTGACATGTCATGATTCTCTTTTATTCCAGAAGTTTGGTCCTTACGGGGTTAAGGTAAATTACATCTGTTTGAAAGTGAAACCAGTTTTTTTCATGCAGGCTTTGTCAATCATAGCCAGGGGAGGTGTGGCTAGGGCTGCATAAACAGAAACAAATTGATTTAACTCCTAAATGACAGAGAATTGAGCAGTGAAATTGCAGGGGAATGATCTATACACCAAAACTGCTTTATTTAGCTAAAGTAATTTAGGTGACTATAGTGTTCCTTTAAAGTCTGAAGGTTGCAGGAGCTGTTGTTATATGCGACCATTCAGTTTGGTGGTCAGGCCCCGCCCTCGAACCATTTTTAATGTTAAATGACAGTCCCATCTTGCTTCTGAATTGGCTGAGTGTGTCAACTGACTGCTTTCAGCATATTACATTAGACTTTGCTAGTTTGAATCGGTATGTCAAGAGACTGCAGGCACTATAACCAACTCAAGTCAGATGAAATTGTTATAATGCTTATAGTATACCTTTGGATTTGAAATTCACTTGGGATTCAACTTGAATTTTCTCTTTATTCATTCTTGTGAAAACGGTTATTTTGTATGAATTCTCTGACGTGTAGAAGCCTTAAAGTTTACAAAAAAGATTTTTCTATGTTCTGATCAACAGGATGAATTCTTGTATGAATCACCTTATGTGAGTGAAGACCTGATCTCCGAGTGAAACATTTCCCGCATTCTGAACAAGAAAATGGTTTCTCACCTGAATGAATCTTCATATGATTCTTAAGAGTTGACATTTCAGTAAAGCGTTTTCCACATTCACTACAGGAAAATGGTTTTTCTCCAGTGTGAATCCTCTGATGTTTCTTTAGATTTGAATGAATAGTAAAACATTTCCCACATTCAGAACAAGAAATAGTTTTCTCTCCTGTGTGAATCCTTTGGTGTGACTTAAGATTTGTCATTTGAGTGAAACATCTCCCACATTCTGAACATGAAAAAGGTTTCTCTCCTGTGTGCAACCTCATATGTCTCCTAAGATCTGACATTTGAGCAAAGCGTTTCCCACATTCAGAACAAGAAAATAGTTTCTCTCCTGTGTGAATCCTCTGATGTTTCTTAAGAGTTGACTTGCGAGCAAAACATTTCTCGCATTCAGAACAAGAAAATGGTTTGTCTCCTGTGTGACTCTTTTGATGAGTATTAAGAGTTGAAGTATCAGTGAAACATTTCCCACATTCAGAACAAGAAAATGGTTTCTCTCCTGTGTGAATCCTCTGATGTGTCTTAAGAGTTGAGTTGCGAGTAAAACATTTCTTGCATTCAGAACAAGAAAATGGTTTGTCTCCTGTGTGACTCTTTTGATGAGTATTAAGAGTTAAAGTATCAGTGAAACATTTTCCACATTCAGAACAAGAAATAGTTTTCTCTCCTGTGTGAATCTTCTGGTGTAATCTAAGATGTGACAATTGATTTAACCTTTTCCCACATTCTGAACGTGAAAATATTTTTTCTCTTGTGTGAATCCTCTGATGTATCTTAAGAGTTGACTTGTGAGCAAAACATTTCTCGCATTCAGAACAGGAAAATGGTTTCTCTCCTGTATGAATCTTCTGATGCTGCCTATGATTTGAAGGGTCAGTAAAACATTTTCCACATTCTAAACATGAAAATGGTTTCTCTCCTGTGTGAATCCTCATATGTATTCTAAGATGTGCCATTTTAGCAAAACATTTCCCACACTTAGAACAAGAAATTATATTGTCTTTCTGAGCTCTCTTACATGTCATAAAATATGGTTTCTGCTTAAAACACTCATGCCCAATGTAGTATGTACTGGCCAATGTATTTCCTTTGTTAACACTCTTCTGCTTAACAAGCTCTGAATTGGTGCATGAAACCTTAGTACTATCAAAGCAGTTACTATTTCCTTTGTTTTGTGTTTCAGTATGATGAGTGGGGATAAGAAGGTCTAAGATGGTGAGATTTCCATCGTGATATGAGGCGCATTCTTCCTTAACATGAGTAGATAGATACTCTGTCTGTGTATATTCTCTGGGTGTATAACTGTCAGATTCTCTGAGATTTCCTTGTTTATGTGAGGTTGATTCATTATTCGATGTATAGCCTAGATGTTTATTTTCTGTGGGTGTATAAACCTCGGAGCTGGTTAGAGTGCTGGCTTCACGTGATGCAGGTTCTTCCTTAATAAGGTTAGGTAGATATTCTGCCTCTGTATGGTCTGTGCCTGTATAAATATTATTGCTTATGAGAATTTGTTTTTCATTTGATGCGGTTTCACACTTTGATGTATAATCCATTTGTATAGCGCTATTGATTGGATAAATGTCAGCTTCAGCAACATTTGTTTCTTCCAATGAGACTGATTCCGCCTTGATAAGAGTAAATGGATATTCTATCTGTGCATCTTCTGTGGGTGTATAAAGGTCTGTGTCTGGGAGATTCCCTTCCTCACACGAGTCTGATTCCTCCTTAATATGAGTAGATGGATCTTCTGTCTGTATATGATCTACGGGGGCATTAATGTCTCTGAGATATACTTCCTCGGATTCTGTAATTTCATGACTCAAAGAATTACTGCTTGGTGTACTGACTGCCACACAGTTTATTTTCTGATCACTTGTGATTTCGTTATCTTTGGTTACATAATCCGGAGAAGAAACTGAAGTGTACAATCCACTGATTTCATTTCTGTTTATGGAACCATCTACTGGAAAGAAAACACTTAAAATTAGAACATTTTCTTAATCGCAGTGGACTTACCAGGCTAGCTATAGAGGTCTCAGATGGTTACTTAAGCAGTGATCTCTCTTCCTGTTTTGTTTTATTAATGTTATTTAACTGCGACAATATAATGCATCACAAGGGCATTGTGAATGAAAAGCAGGTACAATAACATGCAATAAGAACATTACACATGTGTAACGTAACTGAGGCTTTATAATCTAAGACTGAATATACAGAAAAGGATACGGCATAGGGCGTCTCTACACTGGAAAAAAGAGAAGTATAACTTTTTTCCTAACAATTTTTATTGCAGGTGGGGTGACCATGATGGAATACATATGACATCCATGATGGAATAAATCCGTAATGAATGGTTAAGGGGTTAAAGTTGTCATTATTATCCCAGGTTATCCCTGCTATTCCAAGTCCTGTTTCTGTAACGGGTTGTTATCTTTTGCTCTCCACTTGTGTTTTCCTATGTAAGTGTCTTCTTTTCCAAGGACACCTGCTCCCCTCATCCTGTCTCAGCCGGAGTCCCTCAATGCTCAGTTCTTTGTCTCCTTTTGTTCTCTCTCTCTATACTGCCTCTCTTGGCAAACTCATTAATTTGTTTGGATTCTGCTACCACCTGTACTCTGATGACACCCAGATATATCTCTCCTCCCCTGCTGTCCTACAACGTGTCACCAATTGCCTTTCTTCCATCTCTGACTGGATGTCCTCCCGCTTTCTGAAACTAAATCTCTCTAAAACACAGCTCATTGTCTTTCCTCCTCCTAATTCTGATCCTCCTCTTTCACTCTCTTTTCAAGTTAGTGGTGCACACATCAGCCCATCCTTGCAAGGCATTATACTTGAAACTTGATAACATGGAGGAATTCTTCAAGGGATCATGTTTCTATGAAGTGCCTGTGACTCCTAATTATCTAGTGAGTGCAATCATTAACTACGTTCTTTTTGGACAATACCAACTGTGCTATTCTATGTATGTTTTTTTCTTTGCACTTGTAGAGATTTCTTTGTTGTGTGGGCATTATACTTGACTGGCCTCGCCTTTTAGCCTCACACCCAGTCTGTCACCAAATCTGGCGAATTCCACATTAAAAACATTGCCCACTGTAATGGAGCTTCCTGTACCCCAGTTGGGTACCTCCGCCGACAGATGCTACTAGTTCTCCCCGAGGACTCCAAGCACTCCACCAGACACCATCAACACCACAGTCCCCACATCCAGCGTTACAGCTTAGCTGGGAACTCGCCGTCTCCTACCCACCCTGGACCTACGACAAGGCTCCAGGTTCCAGTGGGTGACCCTCTTTTCCTCCAGAGGAGTTAAGCAGGAATAGCTCTTAAAAGAGTTTAGTGATTATAGCCCAGGGGAGTATACAGAGTATAGCAATCCCCAGTGTAGATGCAGCCTTTCCCCCCCAAACATGAGACGAGGCTCAATGTTGAGGGTAAAACAGGAACTCAGCAGATCTGAGGGTTTATTGTCTGTTATACAGTTTTCTTCACAAGGTTACCACCCAGGTGGACCTTGTGGAGCACAGGACACAAAGTCACAAAGCCAATCAAAACAGTATTGTACAGTTAGACACTCCCAGATAATGTACACAAATCCTCCCCTCTGCTTGGGAGATAATTGAGTAACTCAATTATCCCCAAGCAGAAAAAAAACATTTTTCACAAAACACAGAAAACACACCAAAACACCATACATGTTATATCCCCTGATAGCGAGGTCAGAGCAGGGCTTCAGGAAATTCTTATCTGACCGAACGCACGCTTGATTTCATGCCCAAAAGAGTTCCAGAGAATTAGGTTGTGCGGCCGGTCTATCTTCTTTAGTTCAAATACTGTATAAATTGCACAAACGGATCAGTTCATGCATTACTCCATTGGATGCATCTATTTCGTTGGACTGTTCACCGTGAATAGCCCTATGTTCGTGTGGATTTAGCCGAACGCACTGGAAGGTAGAAGTCCCAGCGGTGTTCGTGCCTTTGAGTGTCCGAAAATAGTGCCACACGTTCGATGACAAAACACCATGAGCCATTCGTTAGTTTAAGATGGCCACCGCAACGTGTTTGTTCATACGAGCGATGACCACCCAGCCGTTCGTCAATTAATCTGCAGTTAACCACAGCTTCTGGGAGGTTAACAAGCAGCACACTCCACATGCAGAGTGGTCAGTCATTCTGCATTTTGTTCGGCTACTTGAATAACATTATCCTGGCTGTAATAGCAGTTTAGTTCACCGAACCAATCCACGAATACACAAGCAGGGCCGGACTGGGGATACAAAGCAGCCCTGGAAAAAAAATTTGTGCCAGCCCCATAAGTCACTGCGCCATATATTGTCGCGTGTAATATGTAAGGCTATGTCTTGCCAGGACAGATGATTGAGTAATATATATATATATATATATATATATATATATATATATATTGCTTTTTCTAATATAAAATATTGGTCCTTTCAGGGTAAAACGTTTAATTATACAGTAAGCATACGCACATGCAGACACAGGCAATTTCACTGACATTTCAGTGACACACACAAGCTCATTGATACACAGCCTCATAGACAAACAATCTTACTGATATACATCAGCTCATTGACATAAAAACACAAGCTCACTCACTAGCAGGCACACGCATGCAAGCAAGCTCACTCACTAGCAGACGCACACACACAGCTTAATGTGGTGGTATTGGTGTCTATAGCATGTCCCTACAGGCTTTTCAACGTAAACACTGACTTTTCAGACAAAAGGCAGTGTTTACATTGCTTCAAAGTGACACTGCTAGTGACAGTCACTCAGACGGTCACTAGAGGTGCTTCCTGTGTTAGTGCCCTCCCACCCTCGCGCGCTGCTGAATGAGACTGGCGGAATAATGCGTCTATTCGGCCAGTCTCTCGACCAACTAACGTCTGAAACAAGCCGCTTTGCTGGCGCAGCTCCTCAGCGGCCGCCAGGACAAGTCGCCAGCGGCGCCCGAAGACTCCCAGCCCGGCCAGAGGGGGCGGCGCAGCGGCCAGGCACAGGGGCAAAACCAGTCAAATGGGCGGGTGCACCTTCAGGATCAGAGCAGTGCAAGGATTTTTTGCCGCCCTAGACAAAATAAAAATTTGCTGCCCCACATGTCACATCACAATGCCCCACCCATATGATCTGCCATATGAACTAACGCCAGTGCTGCACACAGTGTGTGTTTACATTAAAAAGCCTGCAGGGACCAGCTATAGACACCAGAACCACTTCATTAAACTATAGTGTCCCTTTAATGTGAGGTAAATTATAGATTAGTATCACTAATAATATACTAGATTGCCTACTTACAAGCAGATGAGGATGATGATGGGCTGCAGTTTGGCTCCACTGGTCTGGAGTAGAACAGGATCTCTGGAGGCTGTTTGCAACTGTGGTCACAAATTTCAATGTTCTGGGAGAATTGGAAGCAGCTCAATTTTTTTGGGGCCCCTTACACAGCTCAAGGTCTGGGCCCCGGGGCCTGACGGTGAGTATGCCCATAAGGCCCACTCATAAGTTCCACCCACCCATGAGTTCGCTCACAGGGAGTGGAGTGTGTAGGGGATGTGTTATGTGTTATTGTAGAGGGTCTAATATGTGTGCTTATGGTATGTAGTGTATAGGGTTACCAGTTTGTGCAGGTGATGTAGTGTGTTTGTGTGTAGTGGAAGCAGTGTGTATTTGTGTATAAGGATGTATTAT